TTTTTAAATAAATGTATATCTGGAAACAGTTTGCTGACAAAGCAGACACAGAGAATGTGAAGGGTTAAGCAGCACACAGTCTCCTCTGCATGCTTCTTGCCTTAATAACAGATTGTTCTTCTAACAGGGATAATTAGGCTCCAGTTTTAGCAGAGAGAGAAGCTTTACTACACTCTGTAATTGGCAACTCCGTGGGTTATGCCAGTCCGTTCCCTTTTCCTCTGTGTGTGGGTGTGGTGGTTACAACTCACTGCACTGCAGTCAGAAAGATTGCTGTTGCTAGGCACACTGCAATACAGTGAACCACCTGCCACTGTGTTTGTTATGAATTAATTTTCTCTCTGCATGCTCTTGTGCTGTCGCCCTGGCTGTTGACATTATGCCCATCAGTGATATGCACCAAGTTCCTGTGCAGCCCTTTCTTATGGATGGCAGGATGAGAAACAGGAAGAGCAGGAGACATAGGAAGGACAGCAGCACAACAAAGGCAGAGGGCTGAAATAGCTTGTGAGGAAGTTCACAGCCAGAACAACATAGTGTTTCCTGCTTTTTTCATTGGCTGCCAGGGGGCTCCCTTTACCTCCCATTGGTTGAAAGATAGCCTTCAGGTTTTGCAAGAGAACAAAGGGTTTGCCTGGTTGACTCGTCTTGAAGAGTAACAAAGAGCACTGTGTAGGCTCGTTCACACCCATTCTGATTTCCCCATTTTCAGTGTCATTGCAGCTCTAAATTACACCTTTTTATTTGCATCTCTGAACGGAGCACATACATCATCAGCCGAATCTGCCAAGGCAAACAACCATCTGTTCGATAACAGGAAACAGCTTCTGCCTGTTTGTTCAGTCACACTGTGTCCGCAGAGAAGACAGAATATACACTGCCTTCATATCCTCCATGATGTCCAGACACGTCCTCAGCAGTGAAGCAGTGAAGGAGTCAGTGGGCAAAAGGTTGCTGTGTATTTTATTTTGTCCAGGATTAGTTATAGGTCAGGCAGGTCAGATTCAGATGTTTAACTCATGCTCAAGTCCCCTCTCTGTGAGCGGATGGATCTCATGATTATTAATAAACAATTTATTAAGTCATTATTTTATTTTATTTTTTTTAATCTGTTCTTTGCTTTTGAAAAGGAGCTGGATCGGCAGAAATATATCTACACCAAGGGTTGTGTGGGACAGTTTGAGAAGTGGCTTCAGGACAACCTGATCATTGTAGCTGGAATCTTTGTTGGTGTTGCACTTTTGCAGGTAAGGAGTCACTGTTTGTAGATTATTTTACCTGGACATATTCATATGAGGAAACTTTGTATATATGAAAATCACATGTATATTTAAAACAGAAAATGTGGATGGTTTTTGATTTTGTGTCATCACTGCTATCTAGTGGTGAGAAGAAGCAACATCGATCGAATCCCTGCATTACAACAGTCTGCTGCTTTTTTTTTAATCAATCGTGTTGTGTTCTGATGTCACTTCCTGGTCTAACGTCCTGTGTGGCTCCCTCCTCAGATTTTTGGGATCTGCCTTGCTCAAAACCTAGTGAGCGACGTCAAAGCCGTCAAAGCCAACTGGTGACAGGAGAGGTGAGGTGAGGGAGCCCCGCCCCTCAGGCCCACAACCAGGTCAACACAGCACACTAACAGTTCCCGTCCAGCTGAGGATGGAGAGCCATGAGCCCGGTCCACTTTTCCACTGAGCTCAGCAGCACATATACACTTGCAGACGAACTGACAATAAGCGTTTACTTCTATGAATATCGATGACACTTGAATGGGGGGAGGGAGAAAATATCCCACACAAACCAAACCGTCAACACTTTGTGTACCACTCAGCTGGGATTTAATCCAAATATACAGAGGAAAGCCTTGCCTACTTCAGATATATATTCCGTTATTTTTGCTTTTTCCTCTGATTTTGTTCTTTAGACCAGTGTATTTATGGGGCACAGTTGCACAAGGACTCCTGTCAGCTTGGAGATTGAAAGCCATGGATGAAAGTAAGAGACAACAAATGAAAAACAAAAGAAAAGGGACAACAAGTCTCGTTTTTTAGGTCAAGAGTTACTTTGTCGCAGAGCCACAGTCCCACCCAGCGAGGGGTTGAATAGCTCATATAAAAGCAGCCGTGTTTTTTGACGTGATTATCCCCACTTCCTGCTGCAGGAGATGGAGGGTGGCTGGCCGGCCGGCTGGCCAACAAACACATTGACTCTGTTGCGTGTAATTTTTTGTGACCTTTTTATGACCACTGAAAAGACTCTGAACACTGGCTGGTCATGTCTTCAGCTTCAAACTGTTTCAAGAGATTTAAATTCTAACTGTAAATGTAAAAAAGTGCCATTAATTTTCTGATATTTTTGTGTCTTTTCTGTTCTTCATATGATTCTCTGCACCCCGCCCCACAATACCTCAGGTCCGGCCGAAAAAACAGAGTCAAGACTCAAAGTGATTGTACGCACACCTCAGGCTCTGAGCTTCAGCACATTCAATTTGAAATAAAATAAAGTAGGCTCTACATTAAAGTGCCAAGTCTCAGCTTTGATTTCGGTACTTTTAAGTCAACATAGAAGGAACTGTGTGGGAGATTTAACCCTTTTAACACATATTGCCCAAATATTAGGGCTTCAAAAATAATTGGACACACGTAGTCAAACAAAATTATCATATTTCATATTTTGCTTTAAATGTTTGGCAGCCGGCGACTGTCTGAAGTCTTTGACCCTCAGACATCAGCAGCCACTTTGTATCGTCCCTGGTGAGTCTCTCCTTCTCTGCTGCCTCCGTCAACCCTGTCTTTAATATTCACCAAGTCGACTGTTGCTCAGTCAGACTGAGATCAGGTGACTGACTCAGCACCTCCAGTAAATATTTCACCTCTTCACCCAAAAGGCTCTGTGGTTGCTCTGGTTGTAGGTTGAGAATCGTGGTCCTGCTTAATAATGAAATGTCGTCCAACAAGTTTTAATGTGTGTGACTGAATCTGAGCCATCAGGATGATCCTGTTCACCTGCATTTCTCCTGTCGCTTCTATTATCAGTGAAATCACCAGAAAGTTCTATCGGCAGCCACACATTTCTGAGCCCTAACACAACCAGCTCCATGTTTGACACGAGCTGTTCATCTTTTTTCCCAGAATTCCCTCTGTGTTTTATCAATCTAAAAGACTTTGGTGCTTGGCCGTTGACATGGAAACATGAACGATGTACCTGGGCAGCGTTCTTTACAATGGAATATTTTTTTACTATATGTACATCCATCCAATTACAGTGGATGGATCCAACTGCTCAACATGGGCACATTGTGCTAAAAGGGCTATATCTTCCAACACAATCTTTTCATGTTGATGTAACCTACTTAAATTAAAGCTGATACTTGAATATGCTGAAGCTCGGTGCCTGCAGAACAAAAACATGTGCAACTATACAAACACTTGAGGCCTTGACTCCATTATGCTTTCTGCCAGCGGTAAAAGCATATCTATCTATGTCTGTTGAATTTACACTAACTTAACGCAGAATAACAGTGACAGTTCTTCGACAGTCACCCTGTTTGCCCTGCAGTAACTGTATTATCTGTTGATTTACTGAAGGATATTAGATTGTATTATATGGATGGCCTGGTGTGGTTAGGATTGTAGGTTATATGCTAAAGAAATACTTAATGAGAGAGTTTGTTGTTTATCTCTGAGCATCCCTCAGGCACATGGGATTGCTGGTTTGGGGCCTTTTTTACTTGACTTTATTACCACATTTGTCTTACATTTATATTTTGTCTTCTCAATTATGAAAATATTATTTTCTATTCTTTGAATACGTCCTTTATTCCTCCTTTCCTTTCTTAGAGAGACGTGTATCCCAGGATTATTGTTTGACTTCAACAGGCACCTGTTTTGACTCATCAGTGAACTGCACATCATCTTCTTATCGTTGATGTTAGCAGTCCAAATGGAGACCAAATAACATCAGCTGGCCACAAGCTAACTGCCAAGATTTTATCTGGCTACAATTCAGATTCAATTAGTAACACCTACAATAACAAACAGCATTTCTGCATAGCCAAAATGTGAATTAATATCCCTTTTTATGTGGGAAGTGCCAGTTGAAATGAGAAATCAAACAAAAAATTAAAAATGTTACCATATTGCTTTTATCTTTAATTCATTGTCGTGTCTATTGTTTGGCCTATTTAAAAAAAAAAATAGAATCGTAAATACATGCTGTTGCCTTTTTGATGTTAGCATCAGTGTCAATATAACATGAATGCTGCTTTTACTTTGACTAGATTATTGATAATGTAGTGCAGTAACCAGGATCATAACAAGTCTCACCTGATTTTGCATTTGAATAATCTGCCATGTTGTCATGTTGTTTCCAGGCTGAGGAAAAATTCAGATTATTATATTTTTCCTTTCTTCGTTTAAACACAGCTCACATTGCCGTTTGTTGTTTATTATATAAAAAAACCCTCTTGTCTCACTCTACAAGTTACAGCTTCTCATCTCATCCGTGATCCTCACAGAATGTAGGTCTAACTGGGTTCACTTGATCATGCTAAACATCAATATTTTTATTCTTTTACTATCATTATTCTATCTCACAGATGGGCTTCAGGTGAGATGAAATGAAGCGCACACAAGTTGAAATATGAGTAGCATTGCTATTCTATGAAAACTATACCAAAACCTTTTCCTGCTCCACTGACTGTCTGTAGAATATACAGCTCTGTATCTATAGGTATTCATTCAGCCCCTTACAGTCGCCCGCTGTGTTTACATTACATGCCACATGTTGCTTTCGCTCCTCCTGCTTCCAAACACTACCTGATTCGACTGCACATATCTCTGCGGCTGTCATTTTGATGTATTTTTAACGCAGCGCCTGCAACAGACTGAGAGAACACGTTTTCTCTTCAGTCTTTTTTCCTTCAGCTCAAATGTAGAAACATTTACAGGATAAAACACAACTTACGGCTCGAGTAAATCCTCACCTACAGTTGCCTGATGTGACGTTGTTTTACTTCTCATTTTGTCGATCCTCCTGTTAAATGTATGAGGACTTCTTTCTTTTTTACACCTCTTTTTCTAATTTTAATGAATTAGTTGATTGGTTCAGTTGATTTTTTTAAGTTTTCCCATTGTTTTCTCATAAATCATCCTTAAGGGAAAATGTTTTCTCAGGGTCTTAAACACCCCTTCCCCTCATAAATAAAAAAACAACCTCTGGTCATGCATGCAAGGAGACTGGTGTCGTACGTGACGTTAACAGAGCGGCCGCTGCCTTTGTGAGTGATGCTGAGGGTCTGGCTGGGGCAGATGGAGGCCACAGGTGTCAGTTCTGCTGCAGCTCTAAAACAAAAAGCACCGACACTCTCTGCAGCCTCTGCCGTGTCTGGACGGATCTGCCAATAATCAGAAAGTCACCTTGGTAATGAGGTCTAAAGTGCCATAATAATCTGTAGCAGCAGCATGGCAGGACTTTCTCTATGCAGACTTTACAATGGTGACTTGCTGGAGTATGTTTGGTTTAACAGCTTTGGCTTCTTCTATTCCTCTAATGCAGGGGGGAGCAACCAATGCTAATTGTGCTTTGTGCTTTATCATAACAGCCTCGCAATCACAAAACACCATCTTTAATTTTTTCTGCCCGTCCCTCTGGGCAAGTAAATCATTCCTGAGGAGAAGCCTTATGCATACCATGAATGTATAAGTATCAGCATGGACCTACTACAATAAGACGTTTAGCTTTACCCTTAAATGCACGCAATGCACAAAACCAGTGAAGTTTAGGAATGTGAATTAAAACTTGTCTAATGTTTTCAATGTTATTCTGGTCTCATCTTTTTTTTAAATTCTTTTTTTTGTGAGCATGAAAGCAAATGAGCGTTCCATTTCTTCTGTTTCCAGTGTGTGCGTGTGTGCAGGCCTGCGTTTTATATTCAATCTCAAAGCGTTTAAACTCTTTGTTTGGTTTGGCTTTTATGTCTCTTCAGTGGCTGCGGATGATTTCTAAGTATGATCAGAAATCATCTCTTCAAAGGTTTGATAATCCCTTATTGATATAAAACTTTTTCAGTGATGCATTTATGAAGGATTTTCCTTTCATTCCCTTTTATTCATGTAATACTGTCCTGTGATCCTGCCTAAGCTTTCGAAGTCTGCTTATGTCCCCGTCAAATATTTCTTACAAAGGTGAGCAGCACATCACTCGAACGCGGATCATTCCTGCTTGTGTTCAGATGCCGGTCACATCACAGCACAAAGATGCAGCATAACTGATTTGTTTGTGATCATATTGAGCTGTTGACTGGTACACATTGGCTCCCAGTTGAAGAATATGAATACAGATAGATCTCTTAGACACACAGAAATGATTCTGAATATCTTTGTTCAGCCGGGCAACACAAACATTGTTTTTTTCCCCCTTAGTTTAATTAACAGTCTGTTTCCAGTTGTGTCGCGATTGCAGCAGAACACAACAAACAAAACTGTACTGTCGATCAGTTGTTATTTTAGTTTCGACCCGTCCTCTCTGACGGGCAGCCTTGTAAAGAAATGTAAATGAAAACTGTGGGACATGGTCTGTTACACTGTATATTGTGTTAGAATACGCCTCTTTCATATATTAAAGGATTTAAGATAACAGCAGTGCAGTGGGTGTTTTATTTCCAGTAATTTTATTATTATTATTTTTATTATTTCCAGTTTTTAATTTCGTACTTCATTTCAAAACAAAAGTATTTTTCAATCAGATACGTTTATATGTGTAGTTGCAGATTGTTTTGTGGATTAGGAATATACACACAACGCATTTGACCAGTTCAAAAAATGTAAATATTCATTATTAGCTTAAAAATGACTCTGCAATATAAACAGCAGTTTAAAAATAGTTATTTAAAACTATTAATGTGAACAGTAATATGAAAAATTTGCTGGAGCAACTTTAATGAATTACTTCAGGTGGTAACACACGAATGAAATAAGTTTTTTCAACCTCAAATTAGCAACAGTGTGAATATGTTGAAAATGCTGAATGAGAAAAAAAATCAATTCATTTGTATGTTACCAATTTCAGTTCTTTATCATTACGTTGCTAATGAATTTTCTTTTTCTGCGGATTTTGTTTTCTGAACCTTTTAGTTTTGTTTTAATTGTAATCATATTTCTTGTTTGTGTTTTTCAGACTTAGCAGCTACGCTCTGTCAGACAGTGGCTAGAATTGAAGCCTGAATGCTGCAGTAATTGTCCCACTTACACTGGAAGGTTTTCTGTATATTTCAGGGTGTATGATTAAGGAAATGTTTGAATTCATCATATGATGGATGAGTCAGCCAACAGAGGGAGACAAACAGTGACGGTGAGCTCACACACTCACACACACACACACACACACACACACACACACACACTGACTCACAGTTGTGCTGTGACTTTATCGTTTATCCTGTAAGGCAGCAAACAACTGCAAAAAAAATATACTGTTTAAATTAAACAAAGCAGACTGATAAATGAGCACATGATGTTAACACTACTGTTTAAAGATCAGCTAGAAGCCTCACAAATCCATCCACTTCCCTGTCACTTCTGCCTTTAGATGTTGAGATGAAAGCGAGAGATTTTTTTAATGTTCTTTTATCGATGAAAGATAAAATACTGTGGGGGGGGGGGAGCACAAAGCAGAGCTGTTCTCTTGACAATGCACAAATAACTAAGTGGACACATGCATCACTGTTCTTACGGCCTTTACGTTGCAGTTTCTTGCCTCTGGGAGCGGCAACAAATGATCATCTGTGATCCTTGAAAAGTCCTTACTTTAGTGCTGCGCCTGTTTACATAAGGCACTTGGCTCATGGACGCGAGGACAGCGGCTGCGACTGGCAGTCCTCCTTTCTGATCTGATTTAAAGTAGCTGCTACCATGAGCATTATCTGTCCAGTAAATATTGAGTGATGCTGTGTTTTTATCTGCACAGGAAGCATCATGTACCGTGGGCAGCAGCAGTGAGCTTCCTGACTTACACACAGTAGTCGCACAAAACCAGACCATTTAATATTATAAGGATGCAGCTTGGCGATATCACCGCTAGATACACACTCTACTTCCTTCATGAGTGAGGGTCAAAAATGTAATCGTACATCTGCAGGGCCTCATCAGGCCACTGCTACCTCTCTGCTTTGAACTGTATGACTGAGACTTTCTTATTGTACCCTGCTTCACATTGTGGTGGAGCACAGACCATGCTAATGCATCTGACCCCCTGACCTCAACGTGGATGCATACAGTATCTTGTTCCACATGTGACTCGCTGTTTTTGTCACATGTGCAGAAGTTCGCTTTCCTGACAGCTCCATCTGTGAGACAGTGGGGAAGTCTCTTGTGCGAATGAAAAAGAGTGTGTGCTGTCTTGAGGGTGTAATGACAGCCATACACATAATTTAATTTCATTGCTTGATAATCGGCGATGCTGAGGTTGACTGAGCACATTGATACATAAACAAAGTGTCAGTTGCATTTAGTTTTACCAATAATGATCTGCATCATAAAAAAAGCAATGTATAATGTTTTTTTTGTCTCAACTATCAAATGTTCTTTTCCCTTCATTTTTCCGAAAAAACGGCCCATTCTTACCACATGAAACCCTGACCCCGAGCCACTTCCCAAGTGAATACATCTTTTATATGGCAAGTCATAATTAATGCATCAAAATTTGAAAAACAAATAGATGTATAGTATAGATTTGTCAAATGACTAATGATGGAAATAAATACATTTGTCCAAATTAAATTCATGTCATAATAACACAAGCATATATATATATATATATATATATATATAGTGTGTGTGTGTGTGTGTGTGTTGTATGCATAATACAACACAAAAACAACACTTTATTTATACACTGCATGACATGTATAACATTCTATTTGGTCGTTTTGACTTAATTTACTTTTCTTATTCCAACGCTGACTTTAGTCGACTACAAAGTCGTCACTTCAGAACTTGATACTAAAAGAATTACCTCTGTCTCACATTGTCTGTGTGAAATACGGTTGCGTTTCTATTGTCTATTGACACAAGGCAGCAAGCAGGGTAGATGTAGGTCATACATTACTTTCTCGCAGCCTCTCCATCCACGTGACATGTCTGTATGACCACCTCAGGCCATCATGATGACTCATCCCCTTTAAGCCAGAGGATGATAAATAAGTCATTTGTTCTGTGTGTGAGCGGATGCCGTCAAATTGATAAATAAAGCCACAACTTTTCTTTTTGGAGTGTGTCCGTGTTGCATTTTATACCCATCAAACATAAAATTCATGTAGTTATCATCATCCGTCTCTTTGTTCCACCTGTGGAACTAAATGTTTTAAGCATATGGACTTGTTTTGGTGTCAGTATTGAATCATTCTTCGGTGGCTGATCAAATCGTCTGGCTCTGTCAGATTAAACATCAGTAAAAAATTGAAAATGTATTCACGAAACTTGACAATCTAACATTTGGTGCATCGTGGTGAAAGATGAACATGTTATATTTTTGTTAGTAAAGGTGGTGCTACAGTAGAAAAACACAGAAACAGTCGGTTGGAAAAGTGCAGCTCTCATTGCCTGCAGGTGGCGTCAACAAAAAAGTTGCATAGATTTCCTGTGCCGATATTACATCACAGGTTAATGACCAGAACTGAGCGGACAGAACAGCTCCCTCTAGTGGAGATTCTGCATCCAGTTGAATGTGGATAAAAGTGTTTTTCAACTATTTTCCATGATGCTTCACATCCATAATAATACATTTCATAATATTTTGAGCCTAAAGTGTTTCTGTGCAGTATCTATAATAGAATTCATATTAAACAACAGTTACTCTAATCATATTTTCAATGTATTATTTACTACTAACTGTATGGTGATTATATTTTTTATTTATTGATCCACCATCCTGTGATCAACACTTCAAAAAAAAATGCTGTCAGCAAAGTACGAACTGCCTTTACTTGGCTGTCCCGTGGAATTACGACACTTTCTTTGGCTGTTCTGTCAATTTATGGCGCTGGGTTTTGCTGGCCAGCAGACTTTGTGCTCACTCTGCCAAGGAGGGCGTGAGTCTTGTCTCCGTTCAACATTCATAAAGTCTGTGGAGTCCTCTACTCTGCAGGATTTATTCGTGAGATTTCCCACACTTCATTTCACCATAGATATGATCAAGCGTACAGCAGCAGGAGGTAGCAGCCACAGTTACATCCTTGCAGCCCTGCTGTGTGTTGGACTTTTATTGAATAGCCCAGAAACCTCATACATTTGGATTCATGATTTCACCCAGTGGCTGTAATCCTTGCCTGAGCAGCTGAGTTAGATCCACACAGTTTGTAATTAGCCAATTAAAGAGCACGGCGGGGCGACTGTTGGGAATCTTAAGGAGCTGATTGGCCATCTTTTGACACTCGAGGGAAGAGAAGCCTCACCTCAAGCTCAAAACGGATTTACTGAGTTTAAGTGGGAAATCTTAGTTAAATGAAACAATTATCATTTTCAAATTGTTTTCAGCCAGTTCAGTGTCAGCACTGTCGATTAAAGTCAGAAATGCAGCCCATGCTGAATCTCAGGCACAACAATCAAACCCTACCCATTATATCAGCAAAAAGCAATTTGATCAGACAAATCATAACACAAATATAGTTATGGTGTCTCAACAAGCATAGGAATTCATTGCTATGGTTCATGTGGGAATGAAACCCATAACTTTGGAGTAACAGGCAGAATGCTTAATATCGCTGCAGACATGCTGATTGATCGGAACAAGTATCTGCCATCAAGGAAAAGTCCCTGTGGTTCTCAGGGGGTAGGAACCATGTCAGCCTCCAGATAGGCCTGTTTGTCCCTCTGGCATGGACAGCAATTGATTTTATTGATACATTCTGCACAGTGAACTTTCAAAGGTGTCCATTCAGTAGCAGGTGACGTCACATCTGCGTCAGCTAACTTGGAGAAACAGACATCACATGACAGTACTCAGCTCCTCGCCTCTTCATGTGGTGTGTCAAAGGCATTCTTTCATAGCGGCTGGGGCAGGGACGCTGGGGCACGAGGGAGTTATTGACATATACTGCAGTTGCTAGAAATAATAATCTTTGAAGTATTCGGGCAAAACATGAATGTGCTTAAGAGGAACAGCATGGAAATTGTTTCTCATCTAATTTGGTTGACGAAAACTCAGATTTGTATCTGTTTCATCCCTGACTTTTGACCCCAGATTATCCACAGGTCTCTATTAGCAGGCGATGGCCCCCCTCTTTGACAGTGAATCAGAGGCCAATTTAATTAATGGAGAGACAGATTTTAGCCAAGGCACAAAACTCAAGGCACTGCTCTTGATCTGCTGGCACCTCAGTCACAGGAACGTGCCGCAGGATTAAAATAAAGGGAAGAGCGTCTCAGGATCATCAGATTTCACCCAAGTGGCTAAAACACAATCAGCCAAGAGCTAATTACATGCCACTCATTTTTAGACATCTTAGATTTGTATCTGCGGGGGGGGGGTTGGTGCAGAGTCATAGGGAGCTGTAGAGGTGCTGCTTGTTGGGTTTGAGTGACACCAATGGTTCCTTGGTTGGTCGGTCTGCAGCTTTGTCAACAACTGTTTGACTGTTT